ACATCTCACGAGAACCAACGATGTGTCAAGCTGCAAGCAAAGTGGAATATAGGTGAAGGTTTGAGTCAGTCTTGAGAGGCATGCTTCCTTCTTGTACTACCTTGTAAGGTTGACAGAACTTCATACGCCCTAAGGCTCTTAGTCTCTGCTGTAGAGACCTCTGGGAACTCCAGATGAGTGGGATGTTAAATCCTTACTTTAAATAAGGTGGCCAATAGGCTAGCAATTTGGAATTTCCTGGATTCCCCCATTTGCTGAAAAAGGGGCAAATCTCATTCTAAGATAAGTGGGCAACAGGCCTTGGTTTGAAGGTCTTATCTTTCCTTATATTGTTCTCCCTCCAGCAGTCTGCAGTCTCCTGGATTTCTCCACTTGCTGAAAAAGGGGCAAATCTCATTCTAAGATAAGTGGGCAACAGGCCTTGGTTTGAAGGTCTTATCTTTCCTTATATTGTTCTCCCTCCAGCAGTCTGCAGTCTCCTGGATTTCTCCACTTGCTGAAAAAGGGGCAAATCTGAAAGAGTTTTTTTTTTTTAAAAAAATAATCTTTTATGTTTATCCCTTTGCCGCTACAAAGCAAAGTTTCAAGAGCAAAACTAAGGGGTGGGGGAATCGAAAAAGCTCTCTGAAATAAAGGCTGCCTTATATAATAAAGGACATATGGTCACCAGAATATTAAAAGAAAGTATCCAGGAATAAAATATGGAACAATTCCTAGAATTCTAGAATTCCTCTTTGGCCAAGGAGATAGAGATCTTTCTGGTATTTTTCAGACTTCCTTGTTTGGGGAAGGCACCTATCTGACCAGCGACTTAAGCCTGGCCCTCCTCTACAGTCCACACAGTCTAGGCTGGCAGCGAAGCGCGATGGGCCCAATTCTCAGCTGTGTCGCAGTTTGCGAGGTCATTGATCATCCAGATGTCAAGTGCCAAGTGAAGAAAAAAGGTGAGTCTCAGAAAGAACTTCCCCCAACTTGGAGCCCTCGATTGTACATCTCGTCTTTTTTCAGTAACTGGTTCTTCAGCTACCATTCAAAGGTACAGTTGGGCTGAACAAAGGGACTTATTGGCCGTTCCTTCTGCTTAAAATGGTTGCAACATCCCAGTGGTCACTTGATCATGACCCTCACTTCTGGCTTCCTACAAGCAAAGTCAGTGGGGAAGCTGGCAGGAACATGACATCTGTAGATGAGCAGGCTGAGCCCAAGGGAGGAATGAAATGTGTCACCAGTCACGAGTCCCTTCGTGGTCCTAAGAGATCTGAGTCTAGCCTGCCTTGAATTCCTTATCTATCGCCAATTTGCTTGGACCGTTAGTAGCTCAGATTCTTGCAGAGAGCTTAAGCTTGCCATAAACCTCCATATTCATTTGAACTGCCTGGATTTCCGAATTTCCTGCATTTCACACTTAATGGAATTGGGGCAACTGAGTTGTAGCACTCACTGCTGGCTGTTCAAGTCTTCCCATTCAAAATGCATGGCTTGCTTTCTCAACCTTGTCCAAGGAACCTGGCCGCCTTGTTACCCGTTGAGAGCAAGTGACTCTTGCTACATATAAACTTACAACTGCTTAACCAGAACTCGGTTTTCCAAGGTCTCCCAAAGATCTTCAACCTCAAATCCTTTAAGCTTGGATTTGCACAACTCATTGACAAGGAAGGTTGAGCTGGATTCCTGCTGCCTGCATAGACATGTCTTCCCTCCCTCCTCTCTTCTGCTTGCTTGCTTCCCTCCCTCCCTCCCAATGTCAACTCTCAGTGTTGTCATGGGGACAGAATGGGGTGTGTGTGCAGCCGGTTTGGGAGGGGTGCATCTTATATGGTAATGTGATTTATGACACAGAGCGAAGGAATGTGGGCAAAGTTCAGAGATAAATCAAACAAAGCAGAGGATTGACTGCGAACATATCTTGCCTAATGGTGCTCCTAATAAATGACTGGTTTTGTATTGAAAACTTGCCTTGATACTTATGAATCAATTAGGGCATTTTTAGGAAATCTCACACCCTCCTTTTCTCTTTTCCTTCTTTCCTCTTTTCCTTCCTTCTCTCTCCCTTCTGCTTGCTTGCTTCCCTCCTTTCCTCCCTGAGAATTTGGTATTTCAACATGTTGGCCAAACTGAATATAGCCATAGCCACTTGCTGATCTGAATTTAGGGGTTTGTGTGCTGAAGGTACATATGGCAGGGGCCCATCCTCCCCATCCTTTTGCAATGCTCTGCTCAGCCATGGTCTCCTATTAAGCTCTTCAAGGCTCCTCAAAAGTTTTGGACCTTCTACATAACTTGCAAGGCAGACCTTACAATCAAACCATTCTTTGCACACAAGAATCTCGGTTTCTTTTCTCAGTTTCATCCAGAATCTTACTCCCCCCCTCTCTTTTTTTTTTGGCAGACTCTAAAGAAATTGACAGGAAGAGAGCCAGAGTGAAGAACAGTGAAGGGGGTGACGTCCCTCAGAAATATTTTGTAGTTACAAACAACCAGCTGATACGGGTGAAATATTTGCTAATATATTCACAGAGGCAGCACCGAAGGTGAGTGTCCCTTCCTTCCCCCTTGCGGACTTCACTGTCCTGTCAGTGAAGATACCTTTAGAGCCGGGATGGCGAACCTATGGCACGTGTGCTACAGGTGGCATGCGGAGCCATTTGTCACGGCACGTGTGGTGTTGCCCTGTCATCTGGCCAGTGCACATGTGCGCGCTGTCCAGCTGAATTCAGCCTTTTTAAAAGCCATTTTTCACCTTCCCCAGGCTCCAGAGGCTTTATAGGAGCCTGGGGAGAGTGAAAACAGCCTTCCCCATGCCCCAGAGCCCCTCCAGAGGCTTCAGGAGCGCAATAAAACCAGCCCTATGGGCAAACCGGAAGTTCGGGAACAGACTTCCGGTATGCTCATAGGGCCGGTTTAAGCCCTCTGAAGCCTTCAGGGACCTTCCAGAGGCATCAGAGAAGCTTTTGAAGCCTCCGGAGGGCCTGTTTTCACCCTACCCAGGCTCCTATAAAGCCTCTGGAGCCTGGGGAGAGTGAAAAAAGCATGCAAAAAGTGGGAGGGGAACACCTGTCATGCGCATGCGCACTGTGGGGGTCACGCATTGCATTATGGGTGCGGCATTCCCGCGCACAACCCCCCTGCGCTCCCCCTGCTTATGGCACGCGAGCCAAAAAAGGTTCACTATCGCTGCTTTAGAGCATGTCTGAAGCTTCTCCTGTCACCATGGCTCAAAAATTCAGAAAAACCATCACAAGAGAAACCGCAAAAGAGGCAGATAGCAATAGCATGTAGACTTATATACCGCTGTGCAGTGCTTTATGGCCCTCTCTAAGTGGTTTACAGAGTCAGCCTCTTGCCCCCAACAATCTGGGTGCCCATTTTACCCACCTTGGAAGGGTGGACGGCTGAGTCAACCTTGAGCCAGTCAGGATTGAACCCCTGTCAGTCGGCAAAATTAGCCTGGAGTACTGCTCTTAACCACTGCGCCACCAGGACTCCAACCCAGACATAAAGGCACATGAAACCCCAGTGGTGGTAGAGTTGTCATGCAGCTGAAGAAAACTGGCTGCAGAACTAAGCTTTCAAGGAATCAGGTTTCCTCTCCACATTTTAAGTCAAGCTGCTAGTTCTTATGACTGCAACGATGAAAGTATGGCCCCATGGCAGCTGTAACCTTCTGCACGAAGCTAAAGGGGGACACAAGGACAAAACATACATTGTAACAACAGGATACAGTTCGTCCTCAATTTACAACCGTTTGTTTAGTGACCAAAGTTTCAACGGCACTGAAAAAAGGGATTTATGACCATTTTTCAGAGTTATGACCATTGCAGCATCCCCATGGTTACGGGATCAAAATCCACAGCCTCGGCAATTGACTCATATTTGTGGCAATTGCAGCCTCCCAGGGTCATGGGAACCCCTTTTGTGACCTTCTGACAAGCAAAGTCCATGAGGAAGCCAGATTAATTTAACAACCATGTTACTTAGCTGTGGTGGTGCAGTGGTTAGAAGGAAGTATTGCAGGCATTCCCACTCTCAGGAGTTTGATCTTTCCTAGGGCTATAAAATGAGGACCTAGATTATTGGGGACAATTTTCTCACTAAACCACTTAGGGCTATAAAGCACTGTCAAGTGATATATAAATGCTATCCCTCCTTCCCTCCCTCCCTTCCCAGTGGTTAGAATGCAGTATTTCAGGCTAACTCTGCCCACTGCCAGGAATTCAAGCCCGACCAGCTCAAGGTTGACTCAGCTTTCCATCCTTCCGAGGTCGGTAAAATGAGGACCCAGATTGTTGTGGGCAAGAGGCTGACTCTGTAAACTGCTTAGAGAGGTCTGTAAAATCGCTTTGAAGCTATAAGTGCTATTGCTATCACCGTGTTTCCCCGAAAATAAAACAGGGTCTCATATTCTTTTGACCCCCAAAATAAACGCTTGGCCTTGTTTTCGGAAAGGTCTTATTATTTTTGAGCGTGGTCCCCACGTGGCTGCTGCTGTGTCATAATATTTTCAGGGAAGGGCTTATTTTAGCACATGCGCTCAAAAGCCTGATTGGGCTTATTATCCATGGAGGTCTTATTTTCAGGGAAACCGGGTACTCACTTAACAGCTGCAATGATTCACTGTGGCAAGAAAGGTTGTAAAATGGAGCAAATGTCGCTTTCTTGCTTAGCAACAGACATTTGGAGCTCAATTGCAGTGGTAAATGAAGGACTACCTGTTCACACTCTGCCCCCTTCTGTCCAATATTCTTCACAGCAGTTACAAATACAATTATAAGTTTGCTTCCTACTATTAAGGTAATCACATAGCTTTCTACAGTCTATTCTGTCTATTTCCAAACCATAAATCTTACAACATTTTTCTATTTCAAGTGAAAAAAGCCAATAAGAGGTTTCCAGGTAGCAGTAAATGTAACACTCCACTTTTCTCTGATTGAAGAAGCCAATTTAGCCATTTTAGCGAATTCTGTAACCTTGGCTTGTTGTTCCTTCAACCTAGATTACGTTGAATCTTGCCATCTTTGTACATATAATTAATCTCACTGCAGTTATCATATAAAAAAGCAAAATTCCATGACTCTTTTCCAAACCCCTCTGATTTCAACTCTATATTAATTTTTAAGCTCTTCTGGATCAGAGTCTGTATTTGGATCCAGAATTTTTCTAGCAACATGTCCATCTAAGACAGAGATCTTCAAACTTGGCAACTTTAAGACTTGTGGACTTCAACTCCCAGAATTCTCCAGGCGGCTTCCTTCCTTCCTTCCTTCCTTCCTTCCTTCCTTCCTTCCTTCCTTCCTTCCTTCCTTCCTTCCTTCCTTCTCTCCTTCCTTCTCTTAGTCCTGCTGACTGGAAATTCTAGGAGTTGAAGTCCACAAGTTTTAAAGTGGCCAAATTGGAGTCCTGCTGGGTGGGGAACTCTGGGAATTGAAGTCCACAAGTCTTAAAGTTACCAAGTTTGGGGACCCTTGATTTAAGAAATAAAGGATCTTCTTTCTTTCACCTAAGGCTAAACATATACATATATAAGACACCATTTATGTCTTATACTTAACCTGTCTCCATTTTTTTCTCTGCAACAACAACCATCTCCAGTAGACTGAACTGAGAGGAAGAAAGGTTAAATTGTTCCCTAAATTGAGTTTTTACTTTATGGACTTATCAGCCAACTGCATCTTTTTCACTTGTTTTTTGGAAAAAACCTGACATTGTATTGTTTGTATAGAATTGGGAATAGAACTTCAGGCCTGAAAAATAATTCACACTTCCAAAACTTGTGGACTACATTCTTTCTCCCCAACTTGACCATTGGGCACTATCTAACAAAATGAAATTTAATGCTGAAAAAAGGAAGGTTCTACATTTAGGCAAGGAAAATAAAATGCACATGTTTTTTGTGCATGTGGTACTTCACTCAATAGTAGTAATTGTGAGAGGGATATTGGAGTCCTAGCGAACAATTATTTAAATATGAGCCAGCCATGTGCTGCAGCTGCCAAAAAAGCCAACACAGTTCTAGGCTGCATAAACAGAGGGATAGAATCAAGATCACGTAAAATGTTAATACCACTTTATAATGCCTTGGTAAGGCCACACTTGAAATACTGCATCCAGTTTTGGTCACCACGATGTAGAAAAGATGTGGAGACTCTGGAAAGAGTGCAGAGAAGAGCAACGAAGATGATTAGAGGACTGGAGGCTAAAACATAAAGAACGATTGCTGGAATTGGGTATGTCTAGTTTAATGAAAAGGAAGACTAGGGGAGATATGATAGCAGTGTTCCAATATTNGAAACAGCATAATGAAATAAGAGAAAGTGTGGCAGGCCAAAATTCTAAAAGGAATATAATTGCAGGCCTGACACTGGCTTCCTCATTCGATTTGACTTCTTAGATTTAGAATAACTTTACTGTCACTGAATGTACACTAATCGGCATACGTTAAAATGAAATTACGTTGTATACAGCTCTCAAAGGGTCTCCACCTCTAATATAAACACAAACGTGACAAGGTAAATATATAAACACTAAATTATTCCTGTACCTACATATATTTGCTTGTCAGAAGGCACAAAAGGTGAACACATCACCCCAGGACACTGCAACCGTCGTAAACAAGTGTCTAAATTTTGATCACCATGGAAATGCTGCAAGAGTTGTAACTGTGAAAAATGGTCATCAATCACTTTTTTCAGTATTGTAGTGACTTCAGTCCCTAAATGAATGGTTGTAAATTGAGGTTATAGTGGCTTAACAGTACAATTAAAGCAAGGGCTGTTTTTTTAAAAATATAGTTTTATTTATATTTTTTTCTTTAACATCCAAAAGTGCTTGGTGAACAGTATATTTTCTGGGTCAATATACTTTGCATACAATTCTGATAATATTAGCATTTAAATATACATAATCATAACCTTTCAACTTCTAATAGTTGTCTATATATAGTAATTATAATATATTCTATTATATTTCAGTATAAATGCTATTTTCCCAATTTCTACTTCCTACTTTTTTCTAACACTTAATATCATAACCAAGTTTAAAAATATTCTGTATCTATCATCTCTTGCCCTTTTTTATTCTTTTCATTTTATTGTAAAAAAAACTATTTCAATTTTGTTTAAACATGCAAGCAGAATTTTGCTTTTAATACTCCTTGTTAAACTGTTTAAACTAAAATAATAAAGCAAAATAATTTAAAAAAAAATGAACATTAATAACCACAAATTTGGTATTTACAAACTTTTTTTTCTTTATGAGTTATGTACAAGACAACTGATTTTACATATTGAAAATGGTATAAAAGGAATGCATTTGCAGACAACCATATTTGAAAGGGCGGAAAAACAAGAGAAAGGGAATTACAGACAGTTTTTAAACTACAATAAAGTTGGTTAAAAATGTTTGTTTTTTAAAAATCAGATATAATTTGCATTGGCTTTTTCCATTAACACAGTTTCAAATCTCTTGCTCTTTTTAGAATTTTAACTCTTACTAACTTTTTGATGAATCTTTCATGCTTCTCTTTTGGTATCTT